TGGTTCTGGTATTTAATTCTCGACCGATGGTTATGGGTGATGATGATGAATTGAAGGCGTAGTCTATCTGTCTGTGTCTGTTTTCAGCATAGAACTTTCTACCGATATGTGCAGCAGTTCAAGTCGCCACACTCCCTCCACGTGTAGCACACAAAGCAAGAGAAGAAAGTAGGAGAAATGCAAAATAGAGACAGTAAACAGGGATATGAGACAAGAGGAATAGTAATGTGGAGAACAATATAGTTTCATTGGGTGTTTATAAGTCACAAGGAGTGGATGCATGTGCGCTATCATAGAGGATGATTTTTAACCATATCACCGATCGTCTCCAGCCATTGGTGTTTACCTTCCCGAGGACCCCAACCAGTCAGTCAGGTAGTCTACACTTACCTCCCTATGTGACTGGCTGGCTGGCTTAAACTAACTGTTGTGGATTTCATTGACTTATGAGGCCATGTTTTGGTTTGACCTCCGTTAGCTCTTTTCCAGCCTGACCCTATGTCAGCTAACATTTCCCATCGACGAAGGCGATGATTGATTTATCAGGGTTATTATTAAGTTTCAAAGCTTCTCTTATATGCCCCACTTCAGGTCTTAGATTTCCTTTGCTACTATTTAGTTTTTAGCCTTATTACCTAAATATTTTACCAATCCTAATTTTACTGATATAAGATGGGATGATCCGGAATCCAAATATACGTTTAACTTCTCATTTTCTTTCCTTTTTACGTTACAATATAACATTGGAAGTCCCCCTTCCTGACTTTCCAATTCATAAGTGAATGGAATTGCCTCCACCTTTGAGTTAATATGTCCGAAAAATCTATCTGTATCCTGTGTTCTAAGCACAGTGAATGTGTCATCTACATACCTCCATACCCATACTTTTGGGGTGGGGCTGAACTATTCAATCGTTAAATCTTCCCACCTATTCACAAATATATCTGCCACTTTTGAGGGATACTGATGATAATCCCCGCGGCAACTCCCTTAGCCTGTCTGTATATTTTCCATTGGGATTTAAATACTGTACAAGTTATGCATAGTTGCGCCACTAGCATAATGTCCTCTAGCGGTACGCTAATTCAAATTCCTAATTCTTGTTCAGAAATAAGTTCGTTCCTGGCTGCTTTTATCGCCATGTTTATCAGTATATAATGTATGTCTGATAAACAAATTACTTAGTTATGTTATTCTAACTCCTTTATAATTCAATTTGTACTTCCCCGTTGATTGATTGAGCCTAAGTACGCGTCCTTAGGTTGACATGTCGCTTCCTTGTGTAGATGCTTCGACAATGTCTGATTATTTGAATTAAAGTAAATTAGTGGATTGTAATTAGCATTGGAATCCACGATGGACATTTCGTCCTATTTTGGACTCTTCACCTGGGTGTACCTGGGGCTGAGCGCTTCGGTCGAATCAATCAACAGTAAAGTACATATTGAATTCAATAATTACTAATATCCGTTGCACAAGATGTGGTCGCTCTCGTGGCCCAAGTGGTCTAATGAATAACGCTTTGATATATGAAACTATGGGTATTGAGTTCGAGCCTCTGTGCTGGTAACACCATCACTCACTCATCGGGGAGTGCAGACACGTCCACTACCTGACGAGTCCCAGGTAACAAGATGAAACGGGCATGCTGTTGGATTCCACTGCTAGTCACTATCCACCAGTTTATGTTAACTTACTACAGTCATGCATCTCCGTTCTGTTATAATAATAATTATTATTATTTCGCATCCACTATTTCTTGGAACATTAAACTTTTTCTGAAAGTAATGCGTAGAACAAAGGTCTTCTCCCTGTGTCTTTCAGTTTCCGTGCGTCGGTGGCACAGCGGTTAGGATGCTCGCCGACCATGTACACGGTCTGAGATTCGATCCCCGGCCGACGCACTCCTTTACCTCACTAAGCCAGAAATAATGCTGGTAAAGAGGAAACGTTGGGCATGAGGCTAGCAACCCCATCCTGTAAAATAAACACTGCTACAGAATCTTCAAGTCACTAGCTTGAGGCCCTATGTTTCACTGGGAACGTGAAGGAAAAAAATCTGGATTTCAATTTTAAAACCAAATTCAAACGGCATTTTTATTTTCAGATCAACTTTCTATAATTAGATTGTATTTTGATGACGTTAGACTTTCACTAAAATCAAACAAATAGATGACAGTTCAATGGTATAATGCTTGCAGCCAATTAAGCACATGGTTCGAGTTCTATTCCTGATTGACGACCATTCCACTCGTCCCTTAGACTTCGCCTGGTTTACGCTAACTGGCAGTGCTCTTGAATTGGAAGGAAGGCAGAAACCACACTATCGCTACTGAGACTTTAAAGCACAAGCTTAAAGTCATATTCTTGTTATGTCAGATTGTTACTGGGTTGGGTTTTCGTCTAGCTTGACTAGGATACGCGCCTCCAGAACACAACACCATAACCAACTGATCACTTGAATTTATCTCCTACACTGATAGATAGACACAAAAGTCAGATTACAAGAAATGACGACAACAACAGCGACGTCAATTTGACAAGATCTCATATTATGTATACAAATCCTCAGAAAACTAAGCCATAAATAGACAAATCAAAAACTGTCCAATCAGGTTGTCGCATTTTTGCATGCATAGATCATGACTTCATGATTAACAAAGAAGTTTGTTCCTTCGAGCAATACCTCCTTTTTCGGTATTAGTTAGTTCTCAAGTGGGAGACCACTGACAGAGATACTTTGTAGGTCTGTTATATTTATATTTTCCACTCGGAATGCAAGCGGGGATATGAAGAAAAAGATGTGACTAACACACACACACACTCACCTATGTTTGTCTTTTTTAATTGTCTCGGATATTTTTGAAATAAAGTCAACACATCACTAATTCTATATTGCACAATTTCTCTGTGCAAAGGGCCCAGAATCTTAACTAATCACTTCGATGTTCCGTGAAATGGAGAGTTATGCATACCCAAAGCAGGGAGAAGAGGAAAACTCGGTTTGTGCACTTGGGGTAGACCGTAATGACGTGGAGTATTGGTACCCGTTGGTTTCATGGACTCATACGTGGCTGATGATAATGCACCTATTCGGTTCAGCTTTTTGAGAGAGAGAGAGAGTCGGTTATTAGTTTCTCCGCTCTTACATTGAGGTCTTTGGAAACACCAAAAGAGTGGAATTTAGTTTGATCACTCAAAATACCTTCCATTTTCTCAACATAATCGCTTTTGTCCAGTAAAAGTATATACAGTCACCTTTATCTGGCTGCTTGCTAATAGTTAAGCTTTCGTTACTTCTAAGTTCTCTTAGGGCTTCTCTTTGTTATTTCGATAACAGACTATTTACTGAATGTCTATTAGTTTTGTATTGTTGGCAGCTGTCAACTAGCGTCGTTTTGAACCTGGTTAGTTCATCGTCCAATGATGGGGTAAGGTGTGACGTTTGAGAGTAAAACATTTTCAAACTGTATATCAGTGTCTAATTAATTAACTTTAGGAGCATATTCACTAAATTTGGGACCTAGGGATAATACCTCCAATTGAAACTTATTAAGCACGACACTGCAAAAATTGTAAACATCCTTGCCCCAAACTGACGGAACAGCGAAGTGGCTAGTTAAGATTCTGGGTCCTTTGCACAGAGAAATTGTGGCAACATAGAATTAGTGATGTGTTTGACTTTATTTCAAAAATATCCGAGACTAATGTGAGGCATGAACGCATGTTATCCATGAATGTATCATCACTATTCACTAATGTACCGCTTATGGAGACAGTAGATTACATTTTTTAATCTGTCTATGTAAATTCAAAATAGAACTTGGCACCGAAGTGCACCAGTTTGACTTGCCACATTCCAAATAGCACACAGAGGTAGACAAGAAGATGAGTGAAGAGAATCAATAGAGTTTGACAAGTATAAGAGTGAAACAGAATGGGTAATGGTAGAAAGGAATATGAAAGATTACAGAGACTGAATACATCTGCGCTGGCCATTGACGATTTTGAGCCATGTCACCTATTGTCTCCAGCCATTGATTCCTGGAGTCCCGAGGGCCCCAACCTGGAAGTCTGCATCTCCCTACCTGACTGACTCAGTTTAACTGTCGTCAAGGATTTCATGGATTGACGAGGCCATGTTTTTGTTTGGCCACCACTGGCTCTTTTCCAACCTGCACCTATATCAGCTAGTAATGCCAGTCGGAGGTAGGGGGCGCGATGGTTAGGCATGCGCACCACGTGACCTAGCCATCTCAGTCTATGTAACTTTATAACCTCGTCGATTGATTTTCCCTCTTTGCCCAACACTTTACGCCTAACGTCAACATTACTTATCTTGTGAAACCACCTAACGTGAGACAGAGATCGCAGACATCTATGATCGAAAGCAGTCAACCTTTTCATATCTTCAACGCGTATTGGCCATGTTTCAGAGCCATAGATAAGGATGGAGCGAACTGATGAGCAGTACACACGTCCCTTGGTTGATAACCGGATGTCACACCTACGCCAGAGATTGTGTAAGTTAGCGAAAGCAGCTCGAGCTTTATGGATCCTTGCTGAGATTTCGTCTCCAATCAGTCCGTTGGTGCTAATACAACTTCCCAAATAGGTGAAGTGGTCAACATGTTCTATCACTTCACTCCCTATCACTAAGCTAGGAGTTGACGTAGTCCAGTCCTGTAGCAGCGTCTTACATTTTACAGTGGCGAATCCCATGCCAAACATACGAAGATTGCTGCTCAAGGTGTTCAGAAGACTCTGCATTTTGTCAGCATCCTCCCCTAACAGGACTATGTCATCTGCATATTCTAAGTCCGTAAGACTATTCCCTGGTAACAAGTCGATTCCTAAGTCATTACGTTCAGTTAAGGATACTTCCATTAACATATCTATGATGAAGTTAAACATTTTTTATATTGTATCTTTGTTATTGATTATGATTTTCATATGTTCCTTTATTTTCAAATAACGCTCCCTCTAAATGATGTACGTAGGGAACTATTAAAATCTCGAGAAAATTATCTCTATGAAGAGTCGAATACACGTATGCGTAATATTATTAACTCAGTGAATCAACTTCAGGCAGCGTACCAAAGTAATCATCCTAAACGTTTATGCCCCGACGATTCAGAAGTCAGTAGTGATGAGGATATATCGGATACAGAAAATGATGGTAAAGATTATTCCAGTGTTAATGAAAACCGTCGTCAGGAAGTTCGAGACTGTTGTTCAGGTAGGTATATATTTACCATTATTATTATTATTGTGATTTATTTGTTATTCATTCGTATCCTTTGTAATTTATCTTTTTCATTTTGTTAATCATAACTTTCTCAGAGAGTTCTGATAAAATTTTTCCCTTCCAACTGACCTAAGTTTTTAAAATTCAATTTTAAATTTCCCCGTCGATTGATTGCACCGAATGGCGCCGTCTCAGGTTGACATGTTGACGGAAAAATCTAATATTGAATTAAATATTTAATATGACCCGTTGCATAAGATGTGGTCATGTGATCTCAAAAGCCAAGATACACCTTCATATCACTCTGAAATTGGTTTGGAGATCTCCTGCACTCAGTTCAGCGTAAAGAAAAAGATTCGAATTTCCAACACCAATTTGAAGTCGGTCACTGTTTCTCTGTGGGTCAGAAACTTGCCCTGTGTGTTACAAAAGGGATTTGCAACAGATTGCAAACTTTCATCAACAACTGCCTTCACTGGCTCCATACTGAAAATCAAATGGCCAGCCAGAAAGAATAAGCAACAAGGAACTGTGACTGGAAACAAACTAACGAAGAGCCGATCTCTCAATAAATATGCAGGAGAAAATAGAGGTGAATCGCAGGCATACATTGAGGAGGCTGTTGAATAACATCATGCACAATGCAGACCATCACTCGAGTGGAATCCCAATGGGGTAGCGACGAGTGGGTCATCCGTACGTAGGTGACATGGAGGAAATCGTGTGTTGGGTAGGAGGAGATGAGAGAGTTTGAGCAATCATGAGACTAGCTGAAGAGGATGGCAGAAAATAGAAGAAGGTTGAGATGTGTTGCTGAAGCCGTATGTTCCACTCGGAACCCAAGGGGACAATAATTGGTAGATACAATTTGAGGTGGGTAGCTAGTCTAGGTGCTTCATCTTTCAGTCAGTCGAGGAATTACCATCGGTCGTGTAGAGAATAAGACGTGTAGTTCACCGCCAGCCGTATGTTCCACTCGGAACCCAAGGGGACAATAATAATAATAGTAATAATACTAGTAATACCTTGCACTTCACTAAGCCATGTAAATATCAAAAGACAAAGACACTGGACTGTGACTGTTGGGGTACGATTCTATTTAAAAAAAAACAGCACGTCATATTTATGTGCTTTTTTACTACATCATTAAAATTGGTCCAGGACAGTGGAAATGGATTGTTCTGATTGGTTGGTGATCTGACCAAGATCAAGGGGTAAGAAAAAAATAATAAAATTTTTATAGTCACTCAATCATACAATCAATCACATGATGAGTAGTCGTAAGATGACTACTTTTTTTAAGCTGTTTTCTTTCTATAGTTTGGTTTGTAAGGATTAGTTATGTTTTACGGGTTGATCACGGATTGATATCAGTTAGAGAACCATTGAAAACCAGGGAGTACTGGACAGCTGCTGTTAGTATAAGCTGTTTTCTATCAAAAGAATGGATACTGAACAAAGAGTAAATACTCTTTTCGATAACCTGCTCCTCTTCATCAGGTTCTGCAGTTATATATATATATATATATATATATATATATATATATATATATACTTTATAGTGAATGAATGAATTAGTGTTATGAACAACAATAATGTCATTGCTTAAATAAATAATATTGATAGATTACAGTTCAATAGCATCAACATAACAATAAACTCAATGTCAAAAAAATTAGGAAATAATATTACAAATTCATGAATTTATAGTCTCTACTGAAGGCTAGCCAGGGGAGTAGAAGTGGCTGGCTGGACTTCCTTCTTTTGAACACAGAGCACTGGTTGTATGAGGCGAATTGCAATAGCCTCTTCTGTTTGGAGCATGCGGTGCTTCTATGATTTTGGCAATTTATTAAGCACCCGGTGGATTATCGAGAAGGATTCTCTTCCATGCTGGCTGGCTTTGTGGCCGGTTTGCACCAGATGGTCTAATATCGAACTATTAATGGTTTTCACTACACCTTTACTTAACCATATTGGGAGATGTTCTCAAGCGAGCATGAAAAATGAAGTTCCTGGAACAACGGCCGATATAAATCGCTCCTCCACAAGCGCAGTTGAATTGGTAGATACAATTTGAAGTGGGTAGCTAGTCTAGTTGCTTCATCTTTCAGTCAGTCGAGGAATCACCATCGGTCGTGTAGGGAATAAGACGTGTAGTTCTCCGCCAGCATTAAAAGTTCTTTGAACTGATTTTCTTAATTTCTTCGTAATTATTTCACTTGGTATATCGCCCTTGAATTGTAGTCGTATATATAAAGAGGCTTCTTGTTTATGGATAGTGAGTAGGCCTTTTCCGTTTTCTTTGTCATGTGTTTCTCGATAAATTTGTCGGGATAGCTATTTTCAATCAAAGTATCATATACAATGCCCAATTCACCTTCAATTACTTCTTTTGAGCATATAGCTCTAACCCTGTGTGGTTGAGGGTCTTTGCTAAATTTCTTTTGTATTTGAGAGGAGGAACGAAGCTGTGAAAATGTGTGTGTATATTGTCCTCTCCATGTACTTTTTCTATCCAAATTTCTTTTTTATGCAACCATCTGGTTTTCTTGTAGGGAGGAGGACATCCAGGAAGGCATTTCTGTTTCCTATCAAATGATATCTTATGACTCATAGATTCTCTCGATCCAATTGATCAATCGTGGTTATTGATTTTTTCGTTTCGTTGACCATTACATCTTGTCATATGTCATAATGTCTATCCTATTTCACATAACATGTTCTCTTTTTTTCCTATTAAATATATATTATAGCACAAACATTGAAAATAACTCAACTAACTAAAACACTAAAAGATTCAGAAGATCGTGTAGCAGAGCTAGAAAGTGATTTGGCTGAACAAAAAGACGTTATTGAAAATCTTATGCGTGAAGTAGATCGTTTACGTGTAGAGAGTCGGCGGTTAGAGTTTACAATTGTTCAGCAACAGGTAATAATTGTTTTTGTTTGTCAGTATTCAATCTATTTCTAGAGGATTCTATGTATCATTTAATGCTGATCTGTAAGAAGGCTTCTTTTAAAATTATATAAATTGTTGTATTGGAAGGCTGTTTTGTCCTAGTTTGGAACTCTTCAGTAGTACAAGTTCATCTTGTAACCAGAAGGTTCTGGGTCAGAACCCCGGTGGGTGCGTACTGTTGAAGAGTCTCAAGCTGGGATGGGGGAAGTAGTTGTCCAGTACTCCCAGGTGGTTTTCCAATAGTTCTCTAACTGATGTCAGCACATGATGTAATCCTACATGCAATCAAACACAAAATCCTTACAAAACCAATACTTGAAAAACATTTTGATGCTCACTAGCGACTGGCCCTATTCAGGCAGTAATCTGGGGTCCTAGTGGGAGGCCGTGACCAGTAGGGTGCAGCATGTTGTAGATGAGGCAGTAACTCATCGAAGAAGACATTGCGAAATGGTCGCACTATGTCATGTATTGGTAGAGGTTAGAATTCATGAACTGGCCATTGAATCGTGTTCTGGTGTTTTGTGATAATTAAGAACTCTATAAGTCTTTGGAATAGAAATCTCCTCTTTCCGTCACTTCGCTTCAAATCTGTACAGTTAGTTATTTAGGGGGTTTAAATATGTACACAGTGGTAATTGAACAACAATGATCACAGAGGTTAATTCTCAGTTAGAAACGAAACTAAATCAATAGGCATTAGAAATAACAATCACGAGGATCGACAAATAATTAGTCAAATATTTAAATTCAGTTTAGATTTTCCCGTCGATTGATTGGATGGAAGTGCTCGGTCTCAGGTTGACATATCCGTTCCTTGTGTAGATTGCTTCGACGATGTCTGGTCGTGTATCCTGAATTCATTTGGTGGTTGAGGTTGGTGACTAGCAGTTGAATGCATGATAGCGCGCATTTCGTCCTCTATTTTTTGGGACTCGTCAGTTGGGCAAAGTTAAACTTTCGATACCACCAACAACCAATCAGCAAACGACCTTGGACGGACCAGTCACATTAAAGAGGCATATATGATGAATGGAAATGTATATTTGTAGAAAAAAGCATAAAATAGAGAATAAAAAAGTTACATGGGATATCTTTCTCGAACATGTGAGAGAAACATCTCCCAGTTTAGCATGGGACTGTCAATGGAGAAGTTACACCATATCCTGTACAAATATTCATCCAAATGACCATAAATGAGATCCATTTATAGCCCTTATCGTATTTTTCAACCTGCCCCAAAATCCTTCAATAGAATTTGTATGTGTCCTCGTAACGGCATCCACAAAATCACTTGAATGGTTGACTCTATGATGAATATATCCCAGAGATGGCAGTGAATTGTAGCCTTTCCACTCGTCGGTGTGTATAATTGACCACCGCTTAACAAGTCTGGTAATAATAGGTATAAGAGTAGTTGCTTTTCTATCTGCTATCCTTAGGGAGAGAAGCGACCTAGCGAAAAAAGTTCCTACGAAATATTAAAATTATCAGCTTACTCTCTCTAGCGTTAGTAGGCTTCAAACATATAGCACAACGATGAACGAACCCATCAGTTGATTTGGTATAGCTTTTTAAAGTCATGATACCACCACACAAACAAATTCGCTCTTTCCGGCGCAACTCAAATCCAGGAAATACTGGAAAACGCTAACCTCCTCGAATTGCAACAATAGCTTTGTAAGGTCACGCATTAGAAATGAATCAAGCGCTATACAACATTGAACTGCGTTCGTGAACCTTATTGGATAATTCGACATCGTTCGTAAATATCATTGGATAATTCGCTGATTGGTAGTTAGTGGTGTCGAAAGTTTAACTTCACCGTCAGTTGGATATACCTACCTAATCTAAATTTAAAACACGAAATCCACTTTCCATACTAGCTGTTCACATAGAAAATTGCTGTTACCTTAGGTTTATTTTTTCGTATGTGTGTAGTATAAATGTTATTATTATTATTTTTGTTCCCTTGAGTCGATTATCCTATGTTATGTTAAGAAAAGGTTTATGGGAAGGCACATGACTCATTGGCTTCAGCACTTAACAAATGTCAAAGCATAATTGTTATAAATGGGCCTGATGGATTGTTTGCTGGGGAAATATCAGCATGGATACGAAAAGCCGCTTACGTTATCTGTAGTGTAGACGGAATGTCTGGCTCTCGATCAATGAACGTGTGTGTACTTCACAATAGTTCACTCTGTTCTCCTTTATGACAATGAGAAATGGCTATTGAACACGAAAGGCATGAAAAGGCCAGCTAGCTATCTTTGATCACTGACGTTTCATCGGTATAATTATAGTAAGCAATAGATTGGGGTTAGGCGTTAAGTGTTAGGTTTGTGGGGTAAATCAATCCATGAGGTTTTGAAGCAACTACATCGATTGACGATGAGGAATGTTAGCCGACTTTGGATTAGGTTGGGAAAGGGTTAAGAGTAGTCAAATCAAAGTCCCGTATCAATCCATAGAGATTTCGACTATGAATGTGAGCCATGTAGGTAGATGTAGACACTGGCTGACTGGGGACCTTGGGATTCTAAAAATCAATGGTTAGAGTAGCTCAAAATCGTTGTCATTGGTGATAATAATGCCTTCACTCTCTATGATCACTTGTCTCTATTAATCCTTATGGTTTTTTTTTGCATGTTATCATTCCTTCTCCCACACACATTTCTGTTTATTATAGTCCCTTTCTTTTGTCTATTTTTGTGTGCTACATGGATCTTGGCAACTTGAACTGCCTCACTTCTGTGTTGAAACTCAACGGCATCAATATCGGTTGGAGAACTAACAAAAACTTGAGATTACTGAATATCTGTTTCGTCCCATTCTAGGACTCTTCAGCAGTAAAATTATTCTCATTCTCACTAGTAATTGAAGTTCTATTGAGAATTTGTGACCATTGGGGTCCACTAAATCGGATGTGGGAACAAATGACACGGACTAGCGGTGGGTTCTGATGAAGAGTCTCAAGTCAGGACGGTGAAACTGTTCTCCCCGGTTTTCAGTGGCTTTTTTTCCATTGTTATTGCATGACCTATACTCAACAATAGCTACGCCGTCTGTGTCTTCTGGGCGCATAACGTTTTCTTCATTTTTTCTTCATTTTTTGTCGATTCAGCAGACAAATACTTTCAATAATACTTCATCTAAAGTAGCTGATTTAGACGATTCCTGCATCACTATCAATTTGGCAAAATTGACGTTGCCATCATCAACATTTGTGACTAAAACGGATCATTCGATGGATAAATTTGAGTCATTTTCATTTCATAAAAGTTCTACACCACAGAAAAACGCTACAAAGGTAATTTTAATTAAATAATTAATTTCTTTATTTATTGGTTTGTAATTATGCTTCTTTTGTTCTGGTCACAGTTATTGGAGGGAGAACCCCTCAATCAGTTAAATTGGTAAATGTTTTGTCAAATATATGTGAATAGTATTTTGTTCTTGATTCCTTCACGTTCCCAGTGGAACATAGGGTGGTTTCAAGCTAGAGGCTTGAAGTTTCTGTAGCAGTGGTGATTATTTTTACCGGATGAGGTTGCTAGCCTCATTCCCCCCAACCTTCCCTCTTTACTACTGGCTTAGCGAGCTGAAGGATCGCATCGTTGGCGGGGTATCGAACCCCAGACCACACGAAGCGTGGTTGACGAGCATCCTAACCGCTGTGCCACCGATACACCTGTGCACAGTGTAGAGTATATGGTATCTTCAGCTTTTGGGATAGCCGTGTTTTTAATAATTGATAGCATACTGCACCAGTGGAGCTTGTGGGTGATTGGTCCAAATGCTCGACTTCCATGGTCACGTGTCCGAATCTCGCCTCATCTACACCTAGGGGTTTGAGAAGACAAGTCGTATCACTACTAGGCCTCAGACAATAGTTGTGCTGGTAGCTCATTGTCAACTACATAAAGTTGCAAGTGGAGTTTCATGCACTACACTATTGCGTTTTTGCAATCATTGCTTTATTGAACCTGACAGTTACTTCGAGTTTTTGTTTGTATAGAGAATTTGAACACGATTTATTCAAATCGACGACATAGAGCGTAGTTAATAGTTGCACTGTAAGAACATATGTCTCCCTCCACTACATTGTGTTTGTCTGTTGTTGTAATTTCACTGAATAGTAGTCGCTAAAGCATATGCTGCTTGACAAGTAAGCTGATTATCGACACACCAAACCAGTATTAGACAGCGTAACTATAAGGAGCTGGCATAGAAAATAGCAGATCACAATTATTATATTAATATTATTATTTCCAATAGTTGGTTTGTTGTAAGGCTTAGATTTGTTGTTTACAAGTTGATCATGGATTGGTATCAGTTAGAGAATCATTGAAAACCAACCACAGAGAGTACTGGACAGCCAGCTGTTTCATTAGCCTAGTTTGGGAATCATAGGTAGTACTCACCCATTAGTAGTACATCTCCATTTTATTCTGTCGTCTGTTGGCTCAACGGATTGCCCATAAGCTTTCATCTCCTCCTTACAAGATCTCCCCCCCCCCATATCATCCTTGGATTTATATTTATTTATTTATTTTTTTTTGATTACAGCTTGATTCCCCACTGTATTTTTGGTACAAGTATGGAATTTTCAGCGTGGATATCGGTAGCCCAAAATTCGCAGGCCGACCATAGATATCAGGTGTGCGTCGGCGTGGGCTCGAACCGTGGACCATGTGCATGGTCGGCGAGAGTCCTAACCACTGTGCCACCGACGCACACGTTGTTTCCCATTCGGGTTTCACTTGACTGACTACTTGGCGCGTGATGTCAGTTAACAGTCAAGTGGTAATGAAACAAATGTGACAAACAAATATGAGGCGAAAAGTAGTAATAGGTGTACGTCAATCGATGAGGTTGTAAAAAAAAAAGGTAAATTGACTAAGATGGCTAAGATGTGCGTATGTTGGCCACCCCAAAACCATCGTCTTCCTCGATGAACAACGTTAGTTGACAGACAGGCTCAGGTTGGAAGAGAGAGAGAGAGAGCTACTGGTGAACAAATCAAAATCTGACGTCAATTCATCATTCCTTTGATAATTAGTATGGGCCAGCCGCCATATAAGAAGGTGTAAACTAATGTGTCTGACTGTGGATCTCAGGATGCTAAATACTAGTGTCTGGTGGCTATTGGTGGTGATATGGTTCAAAATCAACACAACTACACCACCTTTCTTCTCAGTACTGAATAACAATTTCAACCTTATCAAATTTCTAACTTTGTGCCATTGAGTACCACGTATTTTACAACCTTTATTTTTTTTTACTTCTAAAGCCACTTCCGAGTAATAAGATCAATTATGTCACCCCCTATTACTCAATAATAGACTACTTTACATTTTTGGTAAATAATAATACCACTAAAAATGATTTCGTCGATAAAGAAAATCTTCGCTGAATTTGTCTTTTACGTTCTTCATCGTTCGAAATCTTTCTCATTAACTCAGATATATATATATGTATATATATATATATATATACTCTTTGTGATCCCTGCCCCCCTGATTTCCCTAGTCTTTATCCCTTACATTTTCGCTTATTATAATCCTTCTGAATCTCAATTTTCCTCTCTTTTGTCTACTTTTGTGAGCTACATGGAGTGTGGCAAGTTGAACTGCTACACCTCTGTACAGAACACATGAGCTGCAATTTACGAATGTTTGGCATGCGGTTAACTCCCGCCAAATGCAAGATGATGTTACAGGACTTGACTACACCGACTCCTAGTTTAGAAATAGGGAGTGAAGTGGTAGAGCACGTTGACCGCTACACTTATTTGAGAAGTACCATCAACCCCAACGAAATGATCTCTGACTAAATCTCCGCACAGATACAGAGGGCTAGTTTCGCATATGCCTGTCAGTTTACGCTGTCTATGGAGTAGACGTGATAACCGGCTGGCTGTCGACCAAAGAGCGGGTGTACTGCTCATCAGTCCGCTCTGTCCTCCTTTATGGCTGTGAGACTTAGCCATTGAGAGTGGAAGACATGGAAAGGGTGGCTAGCTGTCTTTGATCACAGGTGCCTGCGTTCTGTCTCCCGTGTGAAATGGTAAAATAGGGTAAGCAATATTGAGTTAAGGCATTGGTCGAGTTCTAGGTAAGGGGGAAAATCAATCGACAAGGCTGTGAAATTACATCGACTGAGATGGTCAGGACATGTGTTACGTATTCCTAGTCATCGCCTTCCTCGTCGGGCAATGTTAGCCGATATAGGGTTAGGCTGGAAAAGAGCTAGCGGAGGTCAAACCAAAACATGGCTTCACCAGTCAATGAAATCCACTACAGTTAGTCTAACCAGCCAGCCACGTAGAAAGGTGTAGATTTCCTGACCGGTTGAGGTCCTCGGGACGGTAAAAACCAATGGTTGGAAACAATTGGTGATATGGCTCAAAGTGATGGTTCTCAATGGCTATCTGGCTCAGATGCATCCAATCCCTGTGACTTATGATTTTCTTCGTTATTACTATTCCTTTGTCTCATATGCCTGTCTACTGTTTCTATTTTGCATTTCTTCTACTTTCTTCTCTTGGTTTGTGTGCAACACGTGGACGGAGTGTGGCGACTTAAACTGCTGTACATCGGTGCAAAGTTCTATGTCGAAAACAGACAGACGGACCTCTGTGCAGAGTTCTTTGTTGAAACTTAGTCAGTTGCCTAAATTGATGTTCTACTAATTGTTGTGTAATCCTGTTGTTTTTTTTATTCCCTAGAAAGCTACAACACCTCAAGTCGATGATGAGGACGACGAGGAGGAGGAGGCTCCTTTAACTGTCGTCAAAGGTAATTATAGACTGTTGACGAAGGAGACCACCATCACCACCACCACCAATGACAAACCCTGTCTTACAATTCATTCACCAATTCTGCATGAAAAAGCTCTTCAAAGTATCCATGAAGATGAAGTGAAGATTATTCATCCGAAAAATAAATACATCATCAGTGATGCCCGAGAAAGTAGAGTAAGTGTGTGTGAAGAGGACAAAAAAATGAAATATTTTCTTTTTGTTTTTGATTATTTTTAAATAGTTTTTTTCTTATTGATTTTCATGAATACCTTTGTAGGGATTTGATCACGGTTCGACATCGTTAAAGAGAATCATCACGGAGAAATCCAGGGAGGACGAAGTTGCCTGGAGTTCTACTCAGAGAAGTCGTGACCACTGGGATCCGTTAGCTGATGACACGCACTGGTCATTGATTGAGTAGGATCTTAGTGGCTTAATGATCTACGCGCGTTTGCTTTGTAATCAGGGGAGGTCTGGGGTTCGAAACCTGGTGGTGGATGCATACTGCCGACGAGTCGCTAACGAGAACTCCCTGGTAGCTTTCGATGCTTCTCTAACTGAAATAGATCCGTTTGTTACACATGCACACACGACTGTCTTGTTGGATATTTGTTTTTCTTTGTAGACAGATTGTTTGATTATTCAATGATTCCTGCCTAGTGCGATTTACTTTTCTAGATCGTTTTGTTTGGCTAGTCAGAACACCTACCGGAATGTAAATTTAGTAACCAGAACGTGTAAACACTATACTTATTATTATTATATTTTTATCCCTTTGCTTTCCCAGTGGAATATGGGGAGCTTCAAACCTCTTAAGCCTTGAAGTTTTAGTAGAAGTGCGGTTTTCTTTTTAAGTGGTCAAGGTTGCTAGCCTCACTTCCAATCTTCCCTCTTTACAGGGCTTACTTACCGGTTCATTAAGTGTATCGTCCGGCGACTGAACCCTGGACCATGCGACCTGGTTGATGAGTATTCAACCATTGAACCACTGATACACAGACACACATGGGAGTGTTGCTTCGTTTTTTTCTGCAGTTTTAACTGGCGTAAGTATTCGCATACTACTCAGTGCTACACATCATGGCATTTCATCATGATTTCCTTTGAAACAGTAGAAAGTTTTGAAATCAGCATACATTTCTATTCTTCAAGTATTGGTTTTGTAGGGATTTTTCTTGTGTTTGATTGGTTGGAGGATTTCATCATGAGCTGACATCAGTTAGAGAACCACTGGAAAAACTGGGGGTACTATACAGCTGTTTCGTCAGCCTAGTTTGGGATTCTTCGGCGGTAAGCTCAATGGTCTACGAGCTCGCCTTGTATCCAGAAGGTCATGGGTTCCGTACCCGGTGGATGCGTATTATTATTCTTGTTGATGGTATTTTGTTGATTACTTTTGTGTTCCGAGTGGAACTCAAGGCTTCAAGTTTTGTGAAGTCTATGTAGCGGTAGTTTGTTTACTGGTCTGCATACTCAACCTTCCCTCCCTTCTAAGCTTCCCGTTGCCCAGTATGCTGGATGAGACCGAGGAATGCGTCAGGTGGGACCATTTGTGTGTGTGTGTGTGGACTATTCCACCACTGAACAACCTTCAGTACTGATGGCGTAAATGAAATCGAATTGGCAAGCATACAACCTTTAGAGTACAGACCGTGGACTAGTATAATCACTTGATGATTGCTGTCCTCACGAGCGCGTTTTTCAAGTCGGCGCATGGTACGGCCGATTTACTCAGCTCCACAAGAACAAGTAAACTGGTATATTATGCACGTTGAGGTGGCCCAATGTAACAGCCTGTCTTTCGCGTTCTGGCTGAACAGTTTCGTGCAGAAAAACGTCAGTCGTAGGCTCGTGGCGAAGTATATTTTCCTCAGTGATTTGGAGAGCGTTTACGTTTTCATATCCGAACTTCCTGTCTAATTTGTCATTTTACTATTTCTACATATGTAATTCCTGATTGCATAAACAATTATTCATCACACTAGTTTTTTTTATCCAAACATCCTGTCTATTTATTTTGTTATTTCTACATTTCTAACCCCTAATTGCACAATGTCAATCTTTTTAGTTATCATGATGCTACTTTGTTTGTTTTATCCATCCCCCCGTTTATTATAGCATTCTAATTCCTAATTTTAATTTTTATTAATTTGACCCATAACCGGAAATTATTGTTGAACTTTCCCATCCATTTGATATAAATACACGAATGTACAGTCTAGATGATGACTTCGTCGAAAAGAAGATTTTCTTCACAGTTTTATTCGACAAAGTGTTTATTCTGCTTTGTTCATATTGATAATAACGGTTGAAGGCGAAGACATGATAAAGGAATGTTTATTTTTGGAAATAGGGTATCTCTTTATAGCTAGATTATGTATACCTTATAAACAAACGCACCAGTTGCACAGATCTTCAAGTTGTAGGGTACTTCTGTACTTTGTGTTTATGTTTCTTTGTGTTCCTTTCACTTCTCCAAAACGCTGTATCATTTGCCTTCTCTAAAACCAAATGTATCTCCTTGCTATTGGATGTTTTTATGCTGATGAGCGTCTGTCTATATACTACTGATAAATTTTATCAGTAGCACTCTCCACAATATAACTAACTTTAAAAATTTTAAACATTGTTGTTTTTTTCTTGTCTATGTTAGATTAGTGAAGGTTTACAATCATTTTTGGAGCATGAAGCAAGTATTCAAAATCAAGAAGCACTTGAACGATTACGACGTCAAATTTATGAAATTGAAGAGAAATTCGCCAATAAACATGATGCTTTGGTAAAGAGTGAAACAGCTTTCAATGAATTGAAAACTCGGTATGATGATCTATCACAGAGATTTGTAAGTGTAAATTTACTTTTTTTTGCTTATTTCTTCTTTTGATTGCCATTAATAATAAAAATAGTAGTAGTGTTACGACAGAAGAAGACAAGAGCCAGGCAATGGATCGTTTATTGAGAAAATCAAGAGATATTTATATATTTTTATGTACATTATTATTCGTTAATATTAGCTGAGAAACAGTATCTTCTGATTGGTTGTTTTCTCGCTGAAAATTAATCTGTCATTTCTATGTGACCGTTTCTTTCAAGGTCAGACCATATATCTGCGAATCGTGTCTGCCCACGCTAAGTCTGCTCTGATTGGTCGTTGAGTTAGTTTGACTTGCGAACACCTCTAACCACAGTAGTACGAAATAGTAGTAATAATTGACACATGTAGTTTGATACATTCGTCAGTCTCACACAGGAACTGTTTAAGTTTCTGTGAAAAAGCGTGGGAAATCATGAATGTTATTATTATTTTTATTAGAGCACAAAGTTGGTACATTGCGGGCATCAAGGAATGTGCCACTCGAGTTCTCGTAGTTTTTGTGAGACCTGGGATACTGTCCGAACCCTAAGATCGAAACAAGTGGTTGTCTTATAAGACTACCCTTTGTCTAGCCTTTGACTTGAAATTTTGATTCACAAGGTAGTGGAGCAGCGTTATGATCTGTGTCCTCATGGATCCCAGTGACCAAAACAGGTTCACACGCCATTGGATCCGTGTGGATTCTGGAGCTCATGTAGGTGGTGTACCAGCATATTCACCAATCCGGTTTTAAGTGACAGACTTTCGCGTTCACTTTTTCACTTTTTTAGAGAATGATTCCCACCATGGTGTGAGGGCATTGAACAGGAAGTAACTGGAGGAGGTTGTGAACATGTGGCTACATGAGAGTTTTACGAGAGGAATAACGAAGTTAATCCACCCTGGGTCGTACTAGGTTGTTTATTGACTGAATAACGCGTCATTTAAGGTTAAAACAGACAGAACTATCAGCGTAAAAGTAAAAGTTACAAATTTCTTCTTTAGAGATTTTTTGGTATCATGATGTCGTAGTCAACTTAGTGTATGAAGGTGAGTCTCTGGACTGGAATTCCTATAGCTGGTAAATATCATAAGATGCCATGCATGCAAATGTTTGGCAGGCGATTCGCTCCCGCCAAATAGAAGATGACGCTACAGGACTGGACTACATTGACTCCTAGCTTAAAATAGGAAGTGAAATGGTAGATCGTGTTGGCCACTTCACGCATTTGGAAATTTGCATCAGTCAGTGCCAACAGGTTGATCGCTGACGAAATCTCAGTACGAATACAGAGGGCTAGTTTTGCATAGGCCAGTTTACGTCGTCTCTGGCGTAGAAATCATATCCGGCTGGCTGTCGACCAAAGCGCGTGTGCACTGCTCAGAAGTCCGCTCCGTCCTCTTTTATGGCTGTCGGTGAGACCTAATCATTGAGAGTGGAAGACATGAAAAACTGACTAGCTGTCTTTAATCATAGGTGCCTGTGTTCTATCTCCCGTGTGAGATGGTATAATAGAGTGGACAATATTGAGGTTAGGCGTCGATTGCTAGGTAGGTGGGAAAGGAAATCAATTGATAGGGCTGTGAAGTTACACAGATTGAGATGGTTAGGATATATGTTACGTATGCCTAGTCATCGCCTTCCTCGACCGACAGGCAATGTTAGCTGACATAGGATGAATCAGGTTGGAATAGAGCCAGTGGTGGTCAAGCCAAAACATGACCTTCTCAGTCAATGAAATCCACAATAATTAGTTTAAGCCAGCCATTCATGTAGGAAGGTGTAGACTGCCAGGTTGGTTGGGGTCCTCGGGATAGTGAACACCAATAGCTGGAGACAATCGGTGATATAGTTCAAACTCATCGTTCTCAATGGCTGGCTGGCTGGCGCAGATGCATCCAATCCTTGTGACTTATAATACTCAGTGAAACTATATTGTTCTTCCATATTACTATTCTTTTTGCCACATATCTCTGTTTACTGTGTCTATTTTACATTTCTTCTACTTTCTTCTCTTGCTTTGTGTGCTACATGGAGTGTGGCGACTTGAACTGCTGCACGTATCGGTGCAAAGTTCTATGTTGAAAGCAGCCAGCTAGCCAGCCACTAATTCAGTTATTTCTATTGAAACATAACACAGAAATTTCATGATGAAATCAATAGTTTGAAACTGTTAGTGACTTGGTTTAAAGTTATTCTCATTGCCACAGATGTATTCACTCTTTGTGATCCTCCGGATTCACTAAATCTTATTATTATTGTTCATTTGGTTTCCGAATGGAACATAAAGCTGCACCCACACATCTCCATTTCATCCTATTCTCTGTAGTTCTCTTCAGTTGGTTCCATGGTTGCCCATAAACTAATCCTCTCTCCTAGCCTGATCTCCCCAATGTGTGAGTATCGAATTCACGCCAAACCTGTCATTTCCCACTTGGGTTCCACTGGCGCATGTACCTGACGCGGAATGTCATTCAATAGTCTCTATAACAAGTGTGTAATACATCTTCATTTAACTTTGGTGTATTTGTTGCTCAACAGTTTGTTGTTTGGTTCAACAGCTGACTTTTCTGACTCCATATTGAAGATCCAATGGCCAGCTGGTCAAAAAGAACTAGCAAAAAGAAACTTTACCTGGGAACGAACCAACAGTCGAGAGCCGATTGCTCAAACAAATATATAGGCGAAAATGAAGATGGATCAGGTATACATTGATTGAGGAGACCGTTAAATGGCATCGCGCACAATGCAGGCCACTGCTCGAGTTAAACCCCAAAGGGAAGTGAGAAGTGAGTCCTCGGTGCGAGGTTGACATGGAGGAAATTGTGTGTGGAATATATGAGAGAGTTTGGGCAGTCGTAGACCCAGCTGAAGGGGACGGGAGAAAACAGAACAAAGTGGAGATGTGTTTTTGAAGCCGTATGTTTCACTCAGAAATCAAGGGAATAATAATAATATATGTAATAAAGTTCTTTTAAATTTCTCTTCTCCCCTTCTTTGTGTGCTGTATGGAGTTGTGGCAAGGTGAACTGTTACATTTCTGTGCAATTGTTCTATGTTGAAAGGAGTCAGTCAGTAAGCTATCTATCCTCCCTGTCTTAAACAACTTGTTCCTATGAAATTACACTCATAATTTAATCCCATATTAGTTTGTTTATTAGATGTATTACTCAGTCAGTGAAACACTATTATTTACTGGATGACGTTTCAAACACAATCTAGTATTGTTCATAATCATATCCATTGTAGTCACACGACTTTGAAACTTGAGTTTTATAGTTTTCTTTGTTCTCTCCTATTTGTCATCGTTGGGGCAGTAGAATTTTCCAGATATCTAGATGGATATGTGTTGAATCATTCCTACTACACGTGTTTGCAGTTGATTCGATAAACAAAGCTTCCGTTACCAATCGATCTCTCTCTCCACCCTGTGGCATTAGATTTTAAAACTATCATCCTATTCCATCTTATTGTATGGTTGTGTGTAATTGCATGTAGTGGTATAGCTGAACTATTCTCCAGATTTCGTATCTTATTATTGGGGTCAACCAATCTAGATTTTGCTAGGTTTTTATGCTCAGCTAGTCTGACTGCCCCTGTCCTACTAATTTGACCTACGTATTTGACCTGACAATCATCGCAGACAGGGTATTATTATATTTGAACAAAGTAAGAACTACAGTTTTAGCAGAATAAAATGGTACCGTCATTGTTTATTTCGTTGCCTTCTCGTCAGCTGCTTACATGGCAAAGACATTATTAAATATATCTACAACAACAATTTTAACATACTTGCACAGAGTTCAGTTTAAACAAAAAATCAATCGATCAATATACGCATACACTAAAAATATATACATATATAAATATGCAATATTAACCACTATTCCGAACAATAATAATCAAACACAATGGAAACTTTTAGCATTTCACATTCGGAAGAAAGAGAGGTGAAAATATCCAGTTACCAGGTCGGGCAATGAAAGACTGATAACCGCTTCTTTCTGGTGGACGCATAAATCAGGTTTCAGGCGCTTGATGGAAATGGCTTCAGCAAACTTAAGGAGAATTGAGCTATTTTGCTAATTGATAATTTTGAACGACTTTTCAACGTCCACCTCATGACCCGTACCGAGAAGATGCCTGGTGATGGCATATATATTTTTAGTGTATGAGTATATTGATCGATTGATTTTTGTTTAAACTGAACTCTGTGCAAGTATATTAAAATTGTTGTTGTAGATATATTTAATAATTTCTTTGCCATGTAAGCAGCTGACGAGAAGGCAACGAAATTTTATTCTACAAAAACTGTAGTTCTTGCTTTGTTCAAATTGATTAAGGGGAATAAATGTATTATTATATTATTATTATTGCTCCCTTGGGTTCCTAGTGTGGAACATAGGGCTTCAACTGCACGTCCCCGTTTGCTTCTGTCTTCTGCTGTACTTTTCGCCTGCATCCATGTTAGTCCATATTCTTTCAACTCCTCTTCGCACGATCTCTCCTCCATGTCACCCTTGGACGTCCCACACGCCGCTTCCCTTTCGGGTTCCACTCGAGGGCTTGACGCGTGATGTCACCCAGCGGTTTCCTCAGAGAGTGTCCGATCCATCTCCACTTTCTCCTGCATATTTGTTGGGCGATTGGTTCTTGCTTTGTTTGTTCCCATAATTCCTTGTTGGTGATTCTTCCCGGCCCGGCCATCTAATCTTCAGTATAGAGCCAGCGTAGACAGCTGTTGGTTGATAAAGGTCTGCAACAGGCTGTTGATGGAAATATTCTTTGTGACCCGCCCGCCAAGTTTCTGATCCGTATAGAAGAACTGACTGACTTGACGTTGTTTGTATTGAAAATCCGACTGAATTTTGTTGTTCATGCTGAGTTGAGTGACGAAGATTTCCAGATTGGTTTCAGGTTGATGAGTGAATGTGTTTCTCGCTCGCCTTCCCGATTCTCTCTCGATCTGACATCCTCGTCCGTTCCGACTTCCTGTAGTTGAGACAATGCTCCCTAGATGATAAGCGTATGAAGTCACCTCTTTCAGATCCCTTCCGTTGATGGTGGTTGACGTTGGATGTTTCTGCTGTTGTTGTTGTTGGCTGGTTGGTTATTTCCATAACCTCCGTCTTGTCTATGTTCACTGGAGTCCTGTCTTTGGTGCTTCTTCGACCAGTTTGTCGGTTTTCGCTTGTAAGTCTTCGATTTTGTGACAGTGACATCAAACATAAATCATCCACGCGCGAAATCCAGGTCTTCTAGGTTCTTCACGTCGGTCGGTCCAGGATATCCCTGTCTTCTCGTTTCCCACTCACTGTCTGACGCATAATCCAGTCAGTCACCACAATTAGGAATATCATTGGTGATAATAAGCACCTTGTCTGACTCCTGTGTTTACTCCAAACGCCTCGCTGAGTTTTCCGTTGTGGATCACTTGACATGTGCCACCGTACAGCTGTTGAATAAGGTTGATGAATATTTGGGGTACGCCGTAGTACTCGAGTAATTTCCAAATTACTTCGCGGTCAACGCTGTCTGTCGAAGGCCTTCTCAAAGTCTATAAAGTTGAGGTAGAGGTTTGATTGCCATTCCATGCTTTGTTCTGTGATGATGATGCGTAGAGTTGCAATTTGGTCAGTACATGATTTGCCTTTCCTGAATCCAGCTTGTTCTGGTCGGAGTTCTGTCTCCAGTGCGTCCTTTATTCTCTCCAGGATGATGCGACTCAGGATTTTACTTGGCGTCGATAGGAGCATGATTCCTCGCCAGTTCTTGCAGAGTGAGGCGTAAGTCGCCCTTCTTTGGTAGTTTCACGAGGTAACCTTTCCTCCAGTCAGTAGGCACCTTTCCCTCCTTCCAGACCTTTTGCAATAATGGAGTCAGCATGTCTGCTGTAGTCTCTGGGTCCGCTTTCAGTGCTTCAGGGGGTATTCCATCTGGTCCGGCTGTTTTTCCAGCTTTCAGAAGCTTGATTGTGTTCAAGACTTCAGCTCTCGTTGGAGGATTGGTGTCAACTTGCAGTTTTGTGCGCGCTGTTGTTGGTATTTCTGGACGGGTTGCAGGTGATGGTCGGTTCAAGAGTCCTTTGAAGTGATCCGCCCATTGTTTAATCTGTTTTTCTTCCTTGGTAATTGGGTTCCCTTGGCTGTCTTTTATAGGTTTCGCTTGTGTTGATCTCTTCCCGGATAGAGATTTGGTTATCTGATATAGTGTCCTCAGGTCCCTTTTGCCTGCTGCCTTCTCAGCTTCAGTGGCCAGGTTGTCGTAGAATCGTCTTTTGTCCTTCCTAGCACTCTTCTTCACTTCTTTGTCCAGTGCTGTGTAAGTTGAGCTCATCGTCTCCTTCTCCTGTCCGTCCTTGCATTGAATCATTTTCTCTTTCACCATTCTCCTCTCTTCTATTAATTTCCAAGTGTCCGTTGAGAGCCATTCCTTGTCTTGTCTCTTCTTTCTTCCTAGAACCGTTGAACACGTTTCGTTGAGAATCGCCTTCAGAGACTTCCAATGTTCTTCCACGCATGATTCTTCAGTGATGTCGCGTAGTGTTTCCTGCTTTGCTCTGACAGTTGCAGTGAAAGTGTCTTTTGTGGTTGTGTCCTTCAGTTTCTGAGTGTTGAACTTGCATTGTGGCCTATCCCAGCTATCCTCGAGGCTTTTAGCTTCACCTTGAAAGTCCCTTGTACTAGATAGTGGTCTGAACCCACATCTGCTCCTCTCCTTGACCTTGTGTCCAGTAGGCTCCGTCTCCACTTTCTTGAAATTGAGATGAAGTCTATTTGGTTCTTGGTGTTTCCATCTGGTGAAATCCATGTCGTCTTGTGTATATCCTTGTGTTTGAACACACTACCACCAATCACCAAATCATTGAAGGCGCAGAAGTCTGTGAAGAGTTCACCATTGTCGTTCATTTCGCCAGATACTAGCTTGCTAGGCTACTGGCTTACTAGTTTTCTCGCCTATCTGAAGTCCGGGTAAAGAGAGAGGGTTGGGGCGTGGTGCTAGCAACTCCACCCCTGTAAAACAACCAAATCGTTACAGAAACTCCAACGAATAAATATATTAAAAATTCAAAAAACATAAGCAATAGCCTTAGTTTTCGCTGGAATCGGGGAAGTGAAATGACCCAGGCTGGTGAAAGCCTTCGGGAAGCCAGTCAGCCGATGTGCCTTCTTTCGATGAACGCAAAAGTAAGGATGGGTACCTGGAATGTTCGTACAATGTACGAAACTGGAAAGGCTGCCCAGATAGCCGCTGAAATGAGAAGGTACAGAATAGAAGTGTTGGGAATCTGCGAAAGCAGATGGAACGAAACTGGAAGGTACCAACTACCTACTGGAGAGACAGTAATCTTTTCCCGCCACCCAAAGGACAACCACGAGCACACCGAGGGGTTGGCCATCATGATGTCACCAACAGCAGCCAAAGCTCTCATGGAGTGGGAACCAATCCCCTCCAGGATAATGACAGCAGACAGGGTATTAGATTAATTAAATTGTTTTGTTTTAAAGGCTACACAGGATTCACTATTTAGCCGACAAGGCTTGTTTCTAATTGAGTTTGTGGGCAGCCTGAATGCCAGCTACTTTTATTCCTACCTTGTTAAGAATTCTCCGCCGTAAGGTTTCCGAGGTTCCTTCCTTGTATGGAATTACTACTGATGATTTAGATTCCTTATTGTCGGTGTTGTCTTGCGCATACTTGGCATGCATGTTATTAATATTATTATTATTATTATCACTATCACTACTAACATTATCGTGGTTAGGACTCTCGCCGACCATGCACATGGTCCGGAGTTCGAGCCCACGCCGACGCACACCTGGTATCTATGGTCGGCCTGCGAATTTTGAGCTGCCGATATCTACACTGAAAATTCCATACTTGTACTGAAAATACGGTGTAAAATCAAGCTGTAATCAAAAAAATAATAAAATAAGATAGATTGTGTTCAAAACTGTGTCATCTAGTAAATAATACTGTTTCACTGACTGTGTGATACATCTAATAAACAACCTAATATGGAATTACTTACTAGCACAGTGTCCAAGTTTTACACACATATATTAACTAATAATTTAAACTGATAGATCATCTTATAGTTTAATTCTCCAGTTATTCATATGCGTGTATTTCATGTTTTCTTGTTGTTGTTTTTTTGCATATATTTTTTAATGTATAAATCATCAGGTCACACAAGCCAATGATTTACAACATTCAACTTCAGAATTAGCCAAACTGAAACAATTACATCAGAAAGAATTAGAAGCCTACAATATTGATGCACAAAAGCGTATAGATGAATTGAAGGCTGATTTGAAAACTGCACTGGATCGTAATGCTGAATATTTATCACATATCCCAGAGATTAATATTGCCTTACAGACAACATTCAATAGCGAACCAAGTATTCTGTCCGATTCAATATCTATTCAAACGTCAGTGTATCAAATGAATGATTTATCAATTCAGGTATAGTAGTTACTGGTTTATTTTACATGCATAAATATGTGAACCGTATTTTGCAATTAATAGTGTTCTCTTAGCTAGTTGGTTTAGTTGCAGAGCTTTCGTCATCCTTCTGGACAATATATCCACCTGAGCTACAAATCTTTTCTATTATTTTAAAAACCGTATTTTATTGACTAATTGATTAAAACACAAGCTTAGCATATGATAGTGCGTCGGTGGCACAGCGGTTATAACTCTCCCCAACCATGCACATGGTCTGGCGTTCGATCCTCTGCAGACACACACCTGATATCTATGGTCGGCCTGCGAAATTTGGGCTACCTATAATATCACATGGTGAAAATTCCATAACTGTACCAAAAAAAATACAGTCTGGAATCACGCTGTAATCAAAAACATAAATAAATTTTTTTTTCAAATCAAGAAAGATGCTCCACACAAAACTGTCTCATACTTTGTTTGAGGACTGGGATACTGCCTGGACGTCCAGACACAAAAGCAGGTGATTGTCGTCAGAGCTTGCCGTCCTCCATCAAGCTTTTGTCTTGAAGTTTGATCCACAAGGCAGTAGAGCTGTGTCATCAAGACCTGCAATACCATGGTTTCCGGTGACCATTCGATCCTTCCCGATTCGTAACCTAGCGTGTTAAGCCATAGGGTGTGTGAGGGCATTTGAAGGGAAAGACTGAAGTCTGTCTACCCTTGATCGTTCCAGATCGTCTGTGGGAGCCTGCAAAAGTAATTCTTGTTGATTTTTAGGAGGATTGAGTACAGTGGTTGTTGTTATTGTTGTAGTTTATTGATCGATGTAAATATTTTGTTTTTCACATCTAGTGTCATGATTTGAATTCCTCTCAGTCTTTCAACTTCACCTATTCCCTTCGTGTTTTAATGATTGTACTGAGTTTCACTGTGTTGTCTTATATCGTTACCATGTCCACACAAACTCAGCTCTTAATAAGTAGGAAAGATTGTTTTTAGGACAACTGTTTTTATCCTTTTTGATTTTGATTACAGCTTGATTCCACACCCGTATATTTTGGTACATGTATGGAATTTTTAGCATAGATATCGGTAGCCCAAATTTTGCAGGCCGACCATAGATATCAGGCGTGCGTCGGCAGAGGATCGAACTCCGGACCATATGCATGATCTGTGAGAGTCCTAACCGCTGTGCCACACCGACGCCAGTGTTATGCATCGTCGAGTACTTGGTGTTGCTGCAGACTGGATTCTATTAGTCAACTTTACCTATATAGCCGTTATGCTAAGTGGTTCGCCATTATGGTGCCCTGTGAATGGTTGTTAGATGGTTGGAAGCAACCGTAAGGAAGCTCTACTTGACATAGGTTTCGTACTTATCGGCAATTACTAGTCAGCAAGGCATATTTGAAATCTTCAAGGAATGCATGTCTCTCCACTCATGAGTTATCAACTACACTATTGTGTGATAAGGTATAACTTTTGGCAGGCATGCATGCATGCGTCCAATAAAAATATCCATTGGAGTCTTACAGGATGTCAATCACCAGCCCGAATAGCTTAGTGGTAATGTTTCTGACTGTAGCACTTCTGTGGCCAGGGTTCAAATTTCAGATAGGACAGAAAGTTCCTTCAAACTTGCACATACGACTTGATGGCAAGTGTCAACAAGCACAAAACCTAGATTCAAGGCCTCCAACTATCAATCATGAATTAATGTCACTACGTCTCAGTGTCAGTTCTCTCTTCCTCTCTGTTCTCAACTTGGAACTATTGTCAAGAGCTAGTTTGTTTCAAGTTTTATCATGGATTGATATCAGTTAGAGAACCACTGAAAACCTTCAGGGAGTACTGGGTAGCTGCTTCGTCAGCCTAATTTGGGTACTCATTGGCAGTGTGTGCACCCACCGATAGGGTTCGAATCTAGAACCTTCTGGTTACAAGACAAACTCATAGACCGTTTAGCCATAAGCACATGACACTTGATGGCTCGTGAATTCTAACTTCTATCACTTCGTAGTGTAGCTTGAAATATTTTCTTATATGTGTACTAGAGTGGAATTGCGGTCCCGCCAGCTTTGACATTGAGGCTTCAACCTTACTCTACCTAATTCAGCTTGAAGCAACTGAATAGGACATCATGAGTCTTAGGATATTATGCTTGGCAGGTAGCACTATATATATATATATATATATATATATATATATATATATATATATATATATAGCGGAAAAGCTCATGTTCCTCAACACAACCAACCAACCGGGAAAAGATCGGTCGCTGATCTTTGACTCTTCTAACTGCATGTATCAGTTTGAGCGTGTGTGTGTTCTAAGTAGCAAATACATATATACAGGTCTTACAAAAAGGCGATTGTCTATTATCCTTGATGCAGCATTAAATCAAGTGGTTAAAAAAAGCTGGAGTCAAGGTACTAAAATATTCATTAACAAAGTATCTTATATAGACGGCAGATATAGATATTGACGCCCTGTCAAGTTATTCACAGTAGTCAACAGACAAACAAACAAACGGAGATATGTGCTTGCATTTGTGGTGGCTTGTGATATTAGAGTCTATAGATCCCGATCTCTGTGTACAGAAGGAAACGGTGTTCACTTTGAATCCAGCAGGGTAATATCTTTTACTCATAAACTATTATTATTATTATTGGTTTTGCAACTAATAATAAGTAATGGTATATTACAATGATCTAAATGTGAACCATAATCCCATTATAATCTTAGTTTTAATCTCACATACTCCCTCTTTTCCCCTCCGATTTATCTATCTGAACTTGATCTGTGAAACACTGGCACTTGTCGTTTTGCCTTTTCGACTCATCACAGTCTATTTACTTGTCAGTTATATATCTACTTTAATTGGACACTAGCTAGTAACTAGTGTAATGTGTGTCTAGTCCCCCTTTGTTTGATTGAGACTGTATTCTATCAGTCAGGTTCGCAATGTGGCCACCATGCCACAAGGTAGTTCGTCATCACGGTGCGCTTTGAATCGTTGATGTAAGATGGTTGGCGGCGATCGTGCTAGTTGGTAATCACCAATCTTGAAGGAACTCATATCCTTTCTGAGATCTGAACTCGCATTACCCAGTGCTGCCTGCAGCCAGAGACGTTTTTTTTTTCATCCTTTATGTTCCCAGCGGAACATTGTGATTTTAGCTAGAGGCTCACAGTTTCGATAGCAGTGGTGATTATTTTTACAGGATGGGGTCGCTAGCCTCATGCCCCCCCCACCCAACCTTCCCTCTTTACCAGTCTAATTACCGGCTTAGCGAGGTGCAGGTGTGCGTCTGTTGGCCGGTGATTGAACCCTAGACCATATTCGTGGTCGGCAAGCACTCCACTGCTGTGCTACCGATGTTACTACTCAGCAATTCGGCCTCGTGATTAACCTCCTGTTAGGAGGTATTGGATATTTTGATTGCCTCCAATCATCTAATATCAGCAGTTCAAGGTGCACCGTGATGGCGAGCCATCTAGTATCATGGTGGCCAGATTGCAAACTTGACTGACTGATAGAATTCAGTCTGCACCAAACAAAGGAGTAGACATACATTACACTAGTTACTGACTAGTGTCCCATCAAAGTATCCAATACAGTCGTACAGGGTGGTGAGTCGTGAGCCTGGATAGCTCAGTGGTAACGTCGTCTCAGAAGAGACATGTGTCCCTTGTAGGTTGCATATCCACCTTACCAATCGACTGGTGAGTGCCAACAAACACGAAACCTATGCATCGCAGCAGAGCTTCCTGCCTATTACGCCTCCATCCATCTTGTATTTATATATCTGTTAGATATATCACTAATAGTATTCACTAACTGAAGAGTTCTACGCACATTTTTGTCATGAATTCAAGAAATCCTGATTTATTAACACAGGATGCTTTCTTTAATTCAATTCTATATTTTCCTGTCGATTGACTGAACCGAAGTGCATGGTCTCAGGTTGACATGTCGACGGAAAAATCTAAAATTGAATTAAATGATTAATATAACCCGTTGCACAAGATGTGATGGCTCTCGTAATCCAAGTGGTCTAGTGGAGATAACGCTTTGGCGTTTAAAACTATGGGCACTGTGTTCGGGTCTCAATGGGAACACCACTCACTCACTCAATGGGGAACACAGGTATACATCCATTAGCTGACGAATCCCTCAAGTAGAGGACGAAATGTCCATCCTGGCTGGATTCCAGTGCTAGTCACTATCCACCAATTAACACCGCTTTCTTCTCTATGTACTAAACAGGGATATCTTTCCTTTTCTCTTTCTTCCTTTCTTTCTCAAACAGGTTTGTCCAGTCAATCTAGATGTGTCTATTCAAACAGACCAGCTCAAATCTATAGAAAATTTAAAACCTAAATTGGATTGTAGTAAGCCTACGGCTGCTGCCGCAGCTCGCAACAACAGCAACAACCACAACAACCGATGTAATGAAGAGTTGAATGATGAAAGTGATAGTATGTGTATAACAACATCAGAACATCATCAGCAGCAGCAGCCAGTTGTGAAACGCAATCTGAGAAATAATAATAATAACAGTACTACAACTTCACGTTTACAGCTTAAAATAAATCGTGGACGATTGACGCATAGATTTGGACCACCGCCTAAAGTCCCTGAAGCCCCATCGCCAATTGTTTCTTTATGCCTATCAGATAGTGAATTAGAGATAAGCGGCGGTAATTCACGTGGTGGTGGTCGTGGTGGTAATCAACAAATGGATAAAGAAAATTTGAATACAACTTGTGAAACAGACAATAGTGACGACGATCGTGATCATGAAGATCATGATGATGATGTTAGCGATAATGGTGATGACGACGATGAAGTCCAGAGTTGTAAATCTGAACCTATAGGCGGTGGCAATACACGTAGACAACATACACGTCGTAATAATAATAATACCAAAAAGTTTGAAAAAGCCTCTACAACAAAAAGAACAACAAGACAACGGAGAAAACAAACACATTCATCAAATACTTCTAGTACTGGTATTGTACTACATCGACGTCTTCCACCTTTAGCAGAATCTACTCAACTACTCCCTGATTCAATGTTTCAAGATGAACTTGATGAAGCTTTAATGGAAGCAGATATTGAAATTAAAAAGGTGGAACAACGTAATCTTAGACAATTGAATTTACGGCAAGCACCTAGACGAAGACGTTAAATATATATTTTGGTGTTTTCTGCCCGCTTCTCTTCTCTTCTTTTCTGTCTTTTGTTTTCATACCTATATATATAATATATTATTTTTGTTCATAATTCCTATTCATATTGTACATAAATTGTGCCCCCTTTTTTTTAGTTTTTAAAAAAAAAGGATCATCCTTTGACATTTTGTTCCTTGATTAGTTTATTGGTTAATTTTTTTTTTCATTCAAGGGAAAGTATTTCATAATCCTTCCACCTATTCATCCATCCATCCCTCCATCCATCCACCCACCCACCCCCATCGTCATCAGCGGTGGTTGATGTCTATAGACGAAAAGATTCAGTTATTATTATTATTATTACTGTTTTTTCTTTTGGTATTTCTTTTACTATTGTTCTTCTTCTTTCTCAGTGTCTTCGGTGCAGTTACTTTGTTTTATCTCTGGATGCACTCTACGCATACGATTGTTTTATTATCCATCGCGCTCTCTCCCTCGCTCTCTCTACCTACATATAATAATTCATTTCTTCATAATACTTTCGTTCTTTTTTTGATATAAATGTAAGTGGAATATGATGGCAAATTGTGTATGTGTGTGTGTGTGTGTGTGTGGAAGGTGGGGGAGGGCGGCAGAGAGGCGTACTAGTTAGTTGTCCAGATATTCATGAATAATCCTTAGGCAGACATTAATTGAATAGGTTGGGGAGGGAGGGGGGATTTCATCATGAGCTCATATGAGTTAGTGAACCATTGGGAGAAACCTGCCAGATAGTTGTTTCGTCAGCCTGGTTTGGGACTCTTCGGCACAGTACGCATCCACGTGTGGGTGGGTTGAAACTCTCAGGAACCCTCTGGTTTATAAGGCGAGCTAGTTTCACATATGCCAGTTTTTACGCCGTCTCTAGCTTAGTAGACGTGATATCCGAGTATCGACTAAAGAGCGGGTGTACTGCTCATCAGTCCGCTCTGTCCTCCTTTTATGGGGCTAGCTGTGAGCGAGACCTGGCCATTGAGAGTGGAAGACATGAAAACGCTAGCTAGCTGTCTTTGATCATAGGTGCCTGCGTTCTATCTCCCGTGTGTGTTAAGTGGTATAATAAGGTGAGCAATATTGAGGTTAGGAATCGATCGAGTGGTAGGTAGGTGATAGGGGAAATCAATCGACTAGGCTGTGAAGCTAAGCTACACCGACTGACATGGTTAGGACATGTGTTACGTATGCCTAGTCATCGCCTTCCTCGACAAGGGGCAATGTTAGCTGACACAGGATCAGGTTGGAAAAGAGCTAGTGCTGATCAAACCAAATCATGACTTCATCAGTCAATGAAATCCACAACAGTTAGTTTAACCAGTCAGCCACGTAGGAAGGTGTAAAATTCCTGAATGGCTGGTTAGAGTCCTCGGGATAGTGAACACCAATGGCTGGAGACAATCGGTGAGATGGCTCAAAGTGATCATTCTCAGTGGCTGGCTGATGCGGATGCATCCACTCCCTGTGACTTATGATTTCCAATGAAACTGTTTTGTTCTTCGTCATCACTATTCCTTTGTCTCACAGCTCTGTTTACTATCTCTATTATGCATTTCTTCTATTGGTTTGTGTGCTACAACACGTGGAGGGAGTGTGACGACTTGAACTGCTGCACGTATCGGTGCAAAGGTCTATGTTGAAAACAGACAGACAAGGCGAACAGTTGGTAGACCATTAAGAAGCCAATGGGATCTGACTCATTGGCCTATGAATTCCCCTCGCGATGACATTGGTTGGGTGGTTCTTTGACCAATGTCAACTCATGATGATGAAATCCTTCAGTCAGTCAAACAAATTATGCCTACAAACTAATACTTCAAAATTAATGGATAGGGGACAAAACATGTAGGGCTTAGCGAAGCGCTTAGCTCCTTTTGGATGGTATTTATATATACCATTTCTTTTCCATGGAAGAGGGTTAGCAGAAAAAGTGATGAGTTATCACAAATATAGTCGTTAATATTATTCGCTGTAAAAGAGGATGTGAATAGGTGTACTTGAGTTACACCTATTGAGTTACTTGATAACATGAATAATTTATTGAATGAGTCGTAATCAGGACGTGTACATACAAACGAAGGAAAATATGAAATTGTGTGAGAGTTTTCAGGAAATACGAGAATTATAAGGATTGAGAAAAGCAAATAGAAATCAAGAGAAAGCTTGTTGCCATGGGAAAAGTAAAAGTGGTTGAATAATTTCCTTCTTCTGTATGCATAGCACTGGCTGTTTTAATTAATTGACTGGCTACGCGGCAGCAGCAATCCGAAGGAGACGAATATGTGTATTGTCCTCGGCAGGTTATTCTTCTCTTTGTAGATTACTTTGATCGTTGAGGCGTTTGTTGACATGATATGATTAGTGTTGACAGGGTGTTCAATTGTCGCACTTCTTGTAGATTAATAAGAATAATAGGAGCTGCACTCTGGGCAGTATTTATAAAATGTATAGAAATTTCAGAAGAGTTGATTGCATGATATTTTCCCTGCGTACAATATCTTCAAGTAAAATATTAATTCATTGAGAGTATAACTCAGTATAAATCCTGAGTCGCATCATCCTGGAGAGAATAAAGGACACACTGGAGACACAACTCCGACCAGAACAAGCTGGCTGGATTCAGGAAAGGCAAATCATGTACTGACCGAATTTCAACTCTACGCGGTGTCATCACAGAACAAAGCATGGATTGGCAATCAAACCTCTACCTCAACTTTATAGACTTTGAGAAGGCCTTCGACAGCGTTGACCGCGAAGTAATTTAGAAACTACTTGAGTACTACGGCGTATTTTTCCCCAAAAATTCGTCAGCCTTATTCAACAACTGTACGACAACGGCACATGTCAAGTGATCTTCACAACGGAAAACTCACCGAAGCGTTTGGAGTAAACACAGGAGTCAGACAAAGGTGATTATTATCCCCCACAATGATATTCCTAATTGTGGTGCACTGACTGGATTATGCGTTAGACAGTGGGAAACGAGAAGACAGGGATATCCTGGACCGACCGATGCGAAGAACCTAGAAGACCTGGATTTCGTGCGTGGATGATTTATGTTTGATGTCACACAAAATCGAAGACTTACAAGCGAAAACCGACAAACTGGTCGAAGAAGCAGTTGGTGAAGACAGGACTCCAGGTGAACATAGACAAGACGGAGATTATGAAAATAACTTTTTTTTTTCAACAACAACAGCAGAAACATCCAACGTCAATCACCATCAACGGGAGGGATTTGAAAGAGGTTACTTCATTCACTTATCTAGGGAGCATTGTCTCAACTACAGGAATGTCGGAACGGACGAGGATGTCAAATCAAGTGGGAATCGGGAAGGCGAGAAACACATTCATCAACCTGAAACCAATCTGGAAATCTTCGTCACTCAACCAGTATCAACAACAAAATTCGTTTTGATTTTCAATACAAACGTCAAGTCAGTCAGTTCTTCTATACGGATGAGAAACTTGGCGGGCGGGTCACAAAGAATATTTCCACCAACAGCCTGTTGTAGACCTTTATCAACCAACAACTGTCTTCGCTGGCTCTATACTGAAGATTAGATGGCTGGGCCGGGAAGAATCACCAACAAGAAACTATGGGAACAGACAAACAAAACAAGAACCAATTGCCAGCCACCTGACATGCAGGAGAAAGTGGATTCAAATGGATTGGACACTCGTTGAGGAGGCCGGTTGTTGACATCGCGTGCTCGTCAGGCAGTGCTCGAGTGGAACCCGTCAGAATGGGAAGCGGCGAGTGGGACGTCAGTTCAAGTGTGACGTGGGGGAGATGGTGTGAAGAGGAGTTGAAACAGTATGAACTAACATGGAAGTAGGTGAAAAGTACAGCAGAAGGAAGACAGAAGTGGCAAGTGGAGACGTACAGTTGAAGCCCTATGTTCCACTATGAACCCAAGGGAACAATAATAATAATAACCTGTGACACAATGGTCTATGAACGGTGAAGCACAAACTATTGCATTATGTGATATATCTGCTTTGTCTCCTTCAAAAATCCACGATATCTAGCTATGAAAGAGAATTTTAAAAAGTTCAGGAGTGCACTTTGTGACCCAAGGACATAATTGATGAATAGCTATCTCATGTATTGGAACACGTCACCACCCCCACATTCAGGCCTTTTCTCAAGTGTAGTAGGAACTAGCGAATCAGGCAAAGGTTTGCAAACATTTTTAATACACACAAGAGTAGATAATACCAAATAGAGGTCATATTTCAATCGATTAAAACAAATCGAACGAGAGGAAATATGTGCAATAAAGAGAGAAGTTTGTGGTAGCCTAAGTTTTAAGCAGGCCGCTACCTACTACCTTTCTGAAAGCATGCGGGATAGTGTTCTTTTTTTCAAACAAATACTGTAAAGTTTGAAAAAAAGAAACCTTACATGAACCTGGGTTTCAAGGGAGGGAGATTTAATCTGCGATATCCTTAAGAGGAGAATTTCCGCATCTTTAAAAAGAATATTCTATGGAGCAACTCTGAGAGTAGTGTTCTCCAAATACCCATTGGTTTACAGAAGTCTTAGGGACAATATCTTACATCTGGCCAATTCTGTGTGCATATATCACCTCACCAGGTGTATTCGTTGTTAGATGCGTATCCTGTCTAAAAGAGTCCAAGAACATTATCTCGCATGGATCCAGAAAGGTAGTATTGTAACAACAGAAAACAAGGGCCAGCCAGCAGATCGTATATTAAGGAAATCAACACATATTTATATATTTATTGATTATGCGTCGGTGGCACAGTGGTTAGTACTCTCGACGACCATGCACATGGTCCGGGGTTCGAGCCCACACCGACGCACACCTGATATCTATGGTCGGCCTGCGAAATTTGGGCTACCGATATCCACGCTGAAAATTCCATACTTGTACTGAAAATACGGTGTGGAATCAAGCTGTAATAAAAAAAAACAAAAAAAATAAAAAATATTTTCATGCACATTATTATAGCTTATTCAAGCCAACAAACACAGTCTTCTGATTGGTTGTTTCTCGTAGAACGTTAACCTTGCATCTCTTTGTGGCTGTTTCTTGAATGTCACATCATCTATCTGCAAATTGTATCTGCCTACGCAAAATCTGCTGTGATTGGTTGTTGAGTCAGGCTTTGTTCTTATTTTTCTCACAACAAATATTGGGGACGTAAACATTAACGTAAATTAATGTCTACCAGTTTGGCTAGCAGACTGCTCTCAACACAGTATTAGCTCTATAATTAATATTTTACTTGAAGATATTGTACGCAGGGAAAATATCATGCAATCAACTCTTCTGAAAATTCTATACATTTTATAAATACTGCCCAGAGTGCAGCTCCTATTATTCTTATTAATCTACAAGAAGTGCGACAATTGAACACCCTGTCAACACTAATCATATCATGTCAACAAACGCCTCAACGATCAAAGTAATCTACAAAGAGAAGAATAACCTGCCGAGGACAATACACATATTCGTCTCCTTCGGATTGCTGC